CCCCCCCTCTCATTTTTTCCAAATCAGCGTCTATGTTTACATCGGTCTGCAAGATCATAATGTCGCGTAATCTTTTTCAGTGCAGAACTGATGAAGATTGTTGCGGGCCATTCAGGTGCCACCCATGGGGTTATAATTGCACCGAGTCATGACCAGGAATAGGACCATTGGACTCGGAGGCGGTCCCGGCAATAGGGGACCGCCAGAAGCTGCTTAATAATCATAAATAAGCTTTACCAGGACTTTGTTGCATAGAACTACGATTTAATCTTGCACTTAATTTAAAAATATGTGAAAATTTACGCAATAATTGGAAATACACACTTGTTTAATCATACTATACGTAGTAAAATATTCTTCGTGTCTAAATGACTAAAAATCCTTATTATCAACAAAATTAAAATCAATTTGTAACAGCAAAGTAATTTATTTTATAATAATAAAATCCTATAAATAATATTTATTTTATGAAAATAAAAATGTACTTAAGTATTTACGTAAAAAATAAATTTATATATTCTGACGTAAACTATATAAAATAAATAAATGTGTAACGGTCATAATCGATGTAATAAATAAAGAAAAAATATATTAATTAAGAAGAGATTAGTAAGTATGACAGATCAATTGTGATCTCACTATTTCATTTTTAGCTGATTGCGTTACAAGTCTGACATTGATTCGGCGCGCAGTTTAAATGACTGAATAAATGGATTTAAAAATGGATTTAAAAATGTAGAATTTATTAGGCACCAAGGTCCAGCTGTGACTGTAAGAAGATACTCTCAAATTTATTTGTTATTCATTTATGCGGTCTAGTTTAAATTAATATTATTTTATAACTTAATTTTATATTATGTTACATATAAATTTGATCTTACAATATATTTAACATTCTAACGCCAACAAGATGCAAAATCCAACGGAACCGTAATGAAAAATGAATATCTTATGAATATTAATAATTTGAATTAAAGACGCAAGAATATAACTTTGTAACCAACGATATTGTTTGCCCAAACAATATTTTCTAATATATAGCAGATAACGTAAACAATTATATAATTTTCCGATATTTTTTGTCGCACAAATGCGATATGAAGTATAAATACTCTACCAAGGTCTAATTGATCAGTTGCGATTATATCTTATAGTATGACCTGCATAATCGATTTGTTCAAGAAAAGTACGTTATGAAATATAAATATTCTCCGAAGGTTAAGAATTACTCAGTTCTGTTAACATTGCATATTGTACGACCTGCATAATTGATTTGTCCCTCTAAAAAGAAAAACGAAGTTTTAACATTTTAATTTTTTATATATTCTTTTTTAAAATAAAGTCTGAGAATCCACATTAATAGATAATAAACTTTATATAAAACTTTCTGTTAGTATTATATTAATAATAAATGTATTTTGTTTCATCAATATTTTGTTTCATTATTTAAAAGATAAATTCACTTCAACTTAAAATGGCAATTTCTATAGAAATATCATTATAAAACTATTATATGCATGCATATATCGAATTGTAAATATTCTATAAACATTATTTAATTTCTACTATTTACTTTTGATATTACTCAATATACAATTACGTTAAAATACTTTTTAAAAATAATTAATTATATATTAAAGATGGCTAATTTTAAAATTAATGGCATTAAACGATTAGGCGGTTATCTTGAAATAGATCTAGAAGTAGATAAAGTAATTCTAAATTAATAATTATCATTTTATTTTGAATACTTATTGTTAACTAAACTTTTTGGAAAGTATAAGAACTATATAATAATAATTAAAAGTATATTCAAAATTAAGTTTTTTCAGTACATAATTATTTAAGAACAACGTTCTTATATTGTCATATATATGATTATATATCATGTATCTGCTATTGAGTAATAAAATTAATAAGAAAAGATATTTTCCATAAATACTGTCTTATTAATAATTGAGATTTTACATGTACAAAATAAATGCAGTCAGTACAAAGATATTATATCCATTGCTATCACCATGAAAAAAATTGAATGATAACTATTATGTCACACTTAATTATATTAATATATAAGTAAATAAATAATTTCACGTACCATAGTAAATTTAAATATATTAAAAAGTTCTTATATATGTATATTATTAAATATTTTAAACATAATAATGAGTATATACATATTACAATTAATTTTATTAATAAATAAAATAGAGATATTGATTGATCTTAAATGTCTTTAAAGTTAAAGTTAGTTATAATAGAAATTCTACTGTCTTCTTTTTTTTAATAAATATAACAAAATAATGTCATGATCAAATATAAAAATAGTGTTCAGCATATATTATCATTCTAGTATTATTATTATTGGCACATTTGATGGACATGATCTAGGACAAGAAGGTCTCTTATCCTGTCGAGATGCAATCGTCCAGACAATTTACTGGACATCTTGTATACATTATTAATTTGTATAATGTATCTAAATAAAGTGTACATTTGTTATACTTATTTCTTTCGAGATACGAAAAGAGGACCGATTTCAAAGGACTTCTTCCAACGTGATTTAATTCATAGAAAGTAGCGCGAACAGTAATTCCTTCCCACGGCTAAACTATATTTATTATATTATAACAAATGCCTTGCGTTTCTCAAATTTAAGTTCGAAGACACCAACGCAGACATGCATTTTATTTTGGGTTTACAGAAGAAGCAATAAAAATGTAATCTCAAGAAAGTTAAATCAAAAGTTAATAATTACCAATAAAATATAACTAAATTAAGAGTTAAAAATTAAGAGTCTAAAATATACTAACAAGAAAACCTTGCGAAATGTTAAAATCTGATTTTAATAAAAATTTGTACTCTTATAGATTACGTAAATAGATAAATTTAAAAAAATATTAGTTGGTGCTAAAAAACAATTTGAAGGGGTGAAATCACCCCCTATATGTAAAGCCGTTTTCAGTTTTTTTTATGTTATATCTCAAAAACAATTCAAAATTGATATCAAAAAATGTTTTGCATTTTATGTATAACATGTAGAAATGATAGCGTTTATACGTGTACATTAAAATCAGAACTTGACATTTTATTTAGTTGTTTATGATACTATTTGCCATCCAGATACTGGGGAAATACCTTTTTAAATAAATGGGGATCGCCAGAAGTTGTCCAATAATCATAAATGATTCGACCGGAACTTCGTTGCAAATTGCAGAATCACGATTTAATCTTGCTCTTAATTTAAAAATACCATGTAGAAATTCATTTAATAATTGGAAATATACACTTGGTTAGTCATTACGCAGCAAAATGTTCTCGTGTCTCAATGAAAACCTAAAAACCGTTATTATAAACTAAATTAAACAATATTCCCTAATTTCAACAAAAGGGAGTAAAATCCTAATAGAAAGATCTTACAAAAGTAAAAAAGATATACCAAGTACATAAATCGTAGAAATCTTGATTTATTAAAAAATTAACTGAACAGAAATAAATATGAGATCAATACAATTAACTAAGTATGTTATCAAAAACATTAGATCTAGCATATGTTGACCTAGCATAAAATGGGCATAAAGTGATTAAAATGATCAATGGGGTTATATAGTGCAGTAAAAACTTAGCGAGGTTTGCCTGGGTTGTAATTGCATTTATGTAAACATTTATAATAATAACATTCTATATCTTGAAAATATAGAAATAATATTATAGATAAAATGTGTAAGATGTACCTAATATAGAAACAATATGTACTGTATAATATTTGAGTAGATAATATTTGAACATATAATTAGAGATAATTTTATCAGACTAATAAATCATCATTAATATGTTTTCCTTATTTATCTTCCTTATTAAGAGTTGTTTTTATATATATATATTTCATACAAATAATTTCCATATTGTAAAATATTGATGGGCTATTGCATTTTAGTGCAATTATTACAACCACGCCAAGTTTTTGCTTCGTTATAATCCCGTTGGCCATTTTAATTATCTTATGCCCGTTTTATAACATGCTGGATCTAATTTTTTGGTAATATAATTGGTTAATTGTCTTGATCTCATATTTATTTTTGTTCATTTAATTTCTGAATAAACAAAGTCTTTTTATGTATTTATGTACTTGCGGCGTATATTTTTTTATCTTTGTAAGATCTTTTTATTAAGATTTTATTTTTATATACTTGTATATTACGTTGTACTTTTATCAGGGATAATGCTAAGAAATATCTTTCAGTATATTTTCTATTTATTTTGTCGTTTTTTAGAAGCAATTTTGTCGTCACTCTCTTAAGCAATGTCCGTAACTAGACGAAGCGATGTACTTTTCCGGTCGTCTGTCCCATGGACATGAGGAAAAGAACAAAGCTGCGGGTAGCAAAGGCTTCGCCGCGCAAAGCCCGAAGAAAGCGTTATCTCTTCTCGCGTGCAACGTTGTTATAATTATGAAACTGCGGCAGTAAAACGCATATTCATATTCCAAGACGTTATCTCTGTATGTTCTTTGCAAGCTGTTTGTACATTTGTTTGTCAAGTCCAAAAGAACACTTTCGCAGCGCGGAGCTGCACGAAAGTATATAAAAGAATTTTGTTTTAATATCTATATAGATATGATTAAGGCATGAGAATGACAAAAGTAAAAATAATTGAAAATGAAAGTAAAATATATTGAAAAAAAAA